TCTTTCTTTTTCTGAGCTTCAATTAGCAGCTAAACTCATTAACCATTAGTAACACCCCCCCCCACCTGTACCTTAAAAGTTAGTAATAATAATAACAGCAAACTATATCTTTTGGCAGCTAAAATTGCCATCTACATAATTTTATTTCACACAAATGTATGAAATCATATTTCTGCAGGTTTTTTCTTGCTTGGTACCCGAGCCCCTTATTAGGAGTGGATGCTTGTGTTTCGATAGTGCAGATGAAGAAATCCAGACTGAAAGATGACTCTTTTTTTTTTTTTGTCAGAAGGCAGAGTCAGACCTGAGGGGTCCAGGTTTTTCTGGGCCCAGAAAGTAAAAGGCAAAAACTTAGAAACTTAGGCAGAAACTTAGAAGGCAGAGTCAGACCTGAGGGGTCAGGCTTCTGGGCCCAGAAATTCTGTGATATTCCCACAGTATCACACGAGAATGTAGGAGGGTGACGGAAGAGGCTACTGACATGTGTCCATGTCAGGTGTTCACATCAAATGTGTATGGGGTCAGGAAAGTCCCGCCAATATTTCTAAATCTTGTGTGTGTGTGTGTGTGTGTGTGTGTATTTTCTTTTTTTCTGGAGCCTGACAAATATTGTGAGGATGGGAAAAGCTAGGGAAGAGTTCACATTTATTATTCATAGAATCACTATGAGTTTTAGTCGACCCGAAGGTTCATATCAACAACAACAACAACAACAAGAGGTTATTGTATCTACTCTTGCGTGGCTATTGAGTTAATTTTAACTGGTAGCAATTCTATAGGATGGAGTAGATGGGCCCCAGAATGGCAAAAACACTCATTATCAGGGAGCTCTGGTGGCCTAGTGGCAAGACGCTGCACTGCAATCCCAGAGGTATGCGGTTCGAATCCACCATATGCTCTGCTGGAGAAGGAGGGGGCAATCTCCTCCTGTATCAGTCAGATCTGATTTGACGGTACACGTAAAAATAATACAATAAAAAAACCCCACTCATTATCAACCTATAATATGCAAATGATGCCAACTTGCTAGCTGAAAATGAAGAGGATCTGAAGCACTTACTGCCGATCAAAGATGACAGCCTTCAGTATGGATTACACTTTACTATAAATAAAACAAAAATCTTTACAACTGGACCAATAGACAACATCATGGTAAATGAAGAAATGATTGAAGCTGTCACAGATTTCATTTGCCTGCATTCCAAATCAACACTCACAGAGGCAGCAGAAACAAAATCAAATACATTGGGTAAATTTGATGTGAAAGTCTTCTTTAAAATATTAAAAAGTAAAGGACCTATTGTGAAGAGTAAGGTGCTTTTGACCACAGCTTTTTATTTTCAACCATATTATATGCGTAGTATAGCTATACAATAAATAAAGAGAATGGAAGAAGAACTGATGCCTTTGAATGATAATATTGGCAAAGAATATTAACTGTACAATGGATTGCCAGAAGATTAAAAAAAGCTGTCTTGGAAGAAAAATATCCATAGTTCTCCTTAGAACCAAGAATGGCAACACTCCATCTCACATATTTCAGGCAGGAGAGGATCACCCTGCTTGATTAAGTGGAGGGCCAGTAGAAAAGACAAGACTCAGTGATACAGATCGATACAGCAGCTGCAACAATGAGCTACAATGAGTAACATAAATAGCAGCAGTCAAGAAACAGAAAGAAAAAGATGTGTTGCATTGGGAAAACCTGCTGTCTAGGACCTCACCAAAGTGCTGAAGAGCAAGGATGTTGATTGAAAGTCTAACATGAACCTGGTCCTAGTCACAGTATTTTCAACGGCTTCCTATGCATCTGAAAGTTGGACAATGACTAAGGATGACCAAGGGAGAATCAGTAGCTTTGGATTGTGGTGTTTGAAAAGAGTACTGACTATACTATAAACTGCCAAAAGAAATCTGTCTTGAGGAAGTATAACTATGGTGTTCCTTGTTGTGTGTTTTTGAGTTGAGTGTAACTCGTGGTGACCCTATGAACAACAGATTTGAACCCTGTCCTATCATGTGCCAACTTTACAATGTCTGACACACTTGAGCCCATTGCTGCAGTGACGGGGTCAACACACCTGGTTGAGGATCTTCCTCTCCTTCACTGTCCCTCCACCTTCCCAAGCAGGATGTTCCCAAGGAATAGCCTCTCTTAGGGCCATTATGAGTTGTAGTTGACTCAGTAATATCTACAACATTAGTTGCAATCAACTCGATGACATCTAACCACAACATCATGTGACTCATGTTCCACAGAACACCAACTGGGACTTTCTGTGTAACTGAGCATTGTCCTTTGATGGACGAGGAAATGCAGATGTGAATATGCAGAATTTTGATTCCTATCCCATCCCCCTGACTCCCATTATCACTATTTAGGGTGTCATTGCTCTTCAGCTGACTCTGAAATGACTCACGATGGAGTGATTAGATTGGATCGGAGAGGGTGAGAAGGGGTTAGAGGTCACTTCAAAGAAAACAGGCCAATGAGTCACAACCAGGACACTCACCTTCTTAAGACCCTGTGCACAAGAGAGAGTGAAATGGAATCATAATGTTGAAACCCACTTATTAAATGTGAGGCACTCAGGGAAAGGGCTGCCTGCTAATATCACCAACTGCAGCCCAGTCACACAGCCATTTGCCACCCGCCCATATTTTACTGAGATGAGCAATTACATGTCCTGTAATGGCAATGAAGCAGTAAAATTTATGTCTTGTCATCTCAAACAAGATTAGACATAACCTTCTCATAAATGTAATACTGTACAGAGATTTTGAAGAACATAAGTATAGTTAAGGATCCTTGAGTTTATCCCTCATAGTTAATTAAAATCCTCCCCAAGAATCAGCAGATGATAGATCTAGGGACGTGGAACTTTGTCATCCACGGGAGGGTAGACTGGGGACTTTCCCTACCTTGCTCAACTTCAGCTTGGCCTGGGGCTCGCAGTGCTGGTACCATATTGATTTCAGAAGAGCAGCGAAGGGAGCGACTCCGATGCCAGCAGCAATGCACACGCTCACCGGGTAGTGGTACACATCTGTGAGGGCGGCTCCGAAAGGCCCGTCCACCGCCAGCCTAAGACCACAGCGCTGAGGTTGGTGACATTAGAACACTGCTGTTGATAACAAAATCAGCTGAGACTGAAGCTTTGCTTCTGCTTCTTGTTGCCAATGGGTGCAGAGAGGCCAACTCTGTCTCAGGTATGTGCTATTCGGAATGCCTGCGCTTAGCATGAAGACGCAGAGCCTGGTCCTACGGGCAGTGTCCACTTGGGGAAGGACCACCCCGACCGCTCTGCCTCGCTCGTGCCTCCTCCACGGGGAGCACGTTTCTTCTAGCTCTTGGCCATTTGCTTTGCTTCCAGGCATCACACCTGGTAAACCAGTCCCTGCTGATTCTGACTCAGGACAATGAATGTCAGAGTAGCATTGGGCTCCATGAGGTTGAGAGTGGCTGATTTGGGGGAAGTAGACTCTTGTACTGAGGTGCCTGAGTGTCCTAGAACTTCCAACCTGTGGATCATCAATCTAGCACTTTGTCCTTCAAATATCATGGAAATTGGGGAAGAACATTGCCTTCCCCCCTCGTTACCATCAGAGGGAAAAGTAGAACCATCAATTCATTTAGGCAGCCTTTCTCTTTTTCTATTATATTTCTCCACTCATCTGTTTGTTCACATTGCTTAGTGCATTTATGCAATCTTTACCTAATGGAAGCCATTTTTGAGGATACAGTCAATTTTTAAATCAATTTATCAAACATATAATTTATAAAACTCACTATTTTAGATTATGTTGTTGTTGATTGCCTTCGAGTTGAGCACGACTCATAGCGACCCTATGAACAAAGGTCTGAAGCTCCTCTACAACTATGGACATTTATCAAAGTTCATAGAGTTCCCGGAGGCAAGTTGTTTAGAAAGTGGATGCTATTCCTGCTTCCAAACCTGCCACAGCACTTTATTGTTATGTGCTATTGAGTCACCTGCGGTGTATAGAGACCCTATGTACAGCAGCTCTGAACCCTTCCCTGTCCTGAGCCAGTCTCACTAATTCACCAGCCTCCATCACCCCAGTTACTGTATCAATCCATCTCATCTGGGGTCTCCCTTTTCTGTGGTGCCCATCCACCCTTCTGAGCATGATGTCCTTCTCCAACGACCAGTCTCTCCTGGCCACGTGCCCAAAGTAAGTGAAGCGGAGCATCTTAGGCACAGGGTGAGGGGACACTAAGGTTTTGTCTTAAAAGATTTTTCTTTGCAATGATAAAGCATATTAATGGAAGGAGATTTTCCTTAACATGGTTCTGTATCGTCATCTCCATCTCTCATCATCAGTTCTGAAACACTGGATTTTCTTCTCTTTCTTAAGACATGGTATCCACTTCTACAACAAGGGCTCTGCACATGACAACTTGGATTTCTCCCCTGGCTTTGGCTACTCGCCCTCCCATTAGGTTTTTCTTAGATCAATCATTATTTTCCTGGGGAAATCTCTCTGGACTCTAAGATAGTGGTAGGTGCCATTGAGTACACTACAACAAATAAACTCCATGAACAGTGGATTGAAACCCTGCAGTTTCCTGGGCCATCCTCATGATTTCTGCCACTCTCATGCCTTCCCTTGTAGTCACTGTGTCCATCTGTCTCGTTTATACTCTGCTTTCTCTGACCTTCTATCTTTTTCCAGAATGATGCCTTTTCCTAAGGACTGATGCCTCCTCACAGCATGCTCAAAGGACATGAGATCACATTTTACCTCTAAGGGCTTCACTTCATCCAAGCTGGCTTTGTTTATTCTTTTGACTATTCTTAGTACCTCATGCACTTACTGCAGAGGGTCAAGGACTGCAGCCTTCAATATGGACTGAGGCTCAATATCAAGAAGACAAAAATTCTCACCACTGGACCAATCGGTAGCATCAGGGTGGATGGCGAAGAGATTGACATTATTCACAGCTTCAGTTTGCTCGGCTCTACGGTCAACACTCTTGGCACCAGTAGCCAGGAAATCAAAAAACGTATTGTGATGGGAAAGTCTGTGGTTAGGGACCTCTCCAAAATACTCAAGAACAACAGTGTCTCTCTGGAGACTAAGGTCTGCCTGATACAGGCCATGGTTTTTGCAATCACTTGTTATGCATCAGAGAGTTGGACAATGACTAGGGAGGATAGAAGGAGAATTGATGCCTTTGAGCTGTGGTGCTGGAGAAGAGTATTGAATGTACCATGGACTGCCAAGAAAACAAACATTCATCGTAGAGAGGATTAAACCAGGCTGCTCCTTGGAGGCAAGGATTTTGGGGCTTCGTCTGACATACTTTGGACATGTTGTAAGGAGAGACAGGTCTGTAGAGAGGGACATCATGCTGGGTAGAGTAGAGGGACAGCGCAGGAGGGGAAGACCCTCTATGAGGTGGATTGATTCAGTGACTGGGGCACTCGGGATGGGTGTGTCAGAGGCAATGAGATTGGCACAGGATAGAGCACGGTTTAGGGCTGTTGTACATAGGTCGCTATGAGTCGCAAATGACTCGACGACACATAACAACAACAATTCTTAGTACACTCGCTAGTCTTCACCTATTCAAAGGCATCAATTCTTCTCTGTAATTGCATTAGATCTCATTTTATATAATTCTTAGTTCTCTTCTGCAGTCCTTTCCACTGTTGTAATTTTATGATTTGTTTTTTGTGATTTGATTTCTATTGGTCTTTATCACTAAACTATACCAGAGTCACGTCTATTTCTCGTCGTTACCATCCAGTGTCTCACACACGCCCTAGCACGGAGTTTTTGTTAAAAAACAATTTGTGAATAAATTATAAAGGGAAAGTTTAAAATATTTCAGTCAGCAGAATGCATTAAATAACCTCAACTCTTCCAAAAGCACACATTTACATATGAACAAAGATATGCTAATTAAAAGGTTTCTAAGTTATTCACAACCATTCCCTAAGGGGTGTCTGAGGAAGGCTTATGAGATTGGCCCATTTGGGCTTACTATGTGTTCATGAAAGTTCAATTGGGTTTATTTTAAAATATTCTATATTCCAGACTACCTAATAATTCAAATTAACTCTCCTCAAGTTAATCTTCATTAATAAGGGTGTATTACATATTGATGTATGGAAATGGAAGAATAAAAATAAAAGGTCATTAATCAGAAAATGTTATATCTTAGCTCACTGTGGATTATTTTATAAATAATTAGATAAAAGAAATTGAGAGAAAAATGAAACTGTCCATGGATTAAAATGTCTCATTGCTAATTGTTTTTGCAATTAGTGGTATTTAGAATCTACTTGACACTTTAAAAAGATATTTTTATCTAAATCTAAAGAAAAAATGTGCCATATTGTCCACAGAAATACATGTTAAACAGGTTGGTCCATACTTAAGAATGAACATAAATTGGAGATAACAGAAAATGTTTAGACCAACCTCCTTGCTCATACAGTAATCCTTTCCATAGGCCAGATCTGTGGAAATATCTCACTTTTTAAGTGAAATTTCAGAAGTAGCAAAATTCTTCTCTTCTATACAGAAGACCCAGGTTTGATTCCCAGCCAGTGCACTCACCAATCTGCTAGGAGAGACTTGTGTGTTATGACTCTGTACACATTTCTGTGGAGCTTCAGATTAGGAAGAAAGGTGTGGCAATCTACTTCAAAAACTGGCCAAGGAAAGCCATCACAATGGCTTGACCAGTGACCACGGGAACGGCAAAAAGGCAAGGTAGTGCTTTGTTCTGTTGTGCACAAGGTTCCCATGAGCCAGTGGCCACAAAGGCAGCTAACAACAGACTACATCGTACAGAGATGTGTTCCAACCTTGGTAGGCTCCAGGGCTCCTTGTGGGCCTGTCCATCTGCTCCACAGGCCTTAAATAGGGCGCTGGTCCAGTCCCCCACTGCCCGGATGTGCACACTGAAGAAGTCCTCCTCGGGGGCTGAGGTGAGCGTGAAGGGGTGCCACTCCAGTGCGGATATGGATGGGCATTGTAAGAAGACATACTGCCCTGGCGCCATTTTGAAGTTTCGCTTTTTCATACGAAGTTCAAGGACACCAGAGGGATGACTTACCACCTAGGAAGAGAGCTGACTGGCATTTTCACTCAGGAAAACAATAGTAATAATGAAATAGTTGCTTGTTTTTTAAAAACTTTCATTGACAGATGTAATTTGTCATTATCTTCTAAAGACATTTGCCATCAATTTCATGCCTGGCTTTTCAGATCTATCAAGAAGGAACTTCTCCTACAAGCGCTACATCTGGCTCGTGGGTATCTGCACTGGGGCAAGGTGGTGTCAACACCAGATCTCAGGTGGCAAGATCCAACAGAACCAGAGCCAGCACATTTCCCTTCACTTGAGCTTAGGCACGAAAACAGTTATTATGCTAGTGCCACGTCCTTGACATTTAGCTGTTATTTTCATTTATCTTTATCTTTTCTAAAGCTGTGTTCATGAACTCTAATTTTCATTCATCCTCAGTGGAAAATAACCTTGTAATTAAATTATGAAATGTCTTGTTTGTTTCAGTCGGGAAAGAACCCATGAAGGTTCATCCATTCTCTTCAATCAGGTTGAGTTTTCGATGTGGAAAAGCACCTCACAAAAGCTCTTAGAGCTTTTTCTTGTTCTTTTTTAGAAATAGAAGCTCTCTAGCTTATTGTGTGTCAGAGGGAAAGAATGATTTTCCTCCTAAGATTCCCAACTTGCTTTTGGAAAGATCTCTCTAGGCAACCTACTATCGTATTTTGTGGCAGCGGTCTAAGAATAAAAATCTAGTTGTATCTAGGTGCTGTGCTGGTATATTTCCATTCAGAAGAGAATTTCACAGCCCTCTAATCATTAGTTCTAAGTTTCCTCTCTCCCTACTGATATTTGTTCCAATTCCGCTATTAAATTGTCTCCCTAGTAACGGCTCTGGTGAGTTTCTGGAAGGTTTTACAGTCTGGCTTTTGATATAGCCTGACATCCTTTGGTGCTTAACTTAAAAACAGCAACACAGAAAATGGCTTAAAACAGAAATATGAAGCTGTTTCTTTACGTTCACTTTCATGAAAGCAGTTAAGGAGATAGAGTATTCTGATAAAATTGTATTAGGGAAGCGGTATACGTTTGGTTAGCAGAAAATTTCTTCTGAGACGTTAAAAAAATATGGATGGGGAGTATTTGGTACTTGTTCAGTCTTTTCTCTGTCTATCCTTCCCTATCTGCCTCCAGCACGAGGTAAAAATTGAAGAGCTGTGTGGCTAGACAGCAAGCCTAGGGGGGAGGGCGGAGAGCATTTTGCCCACCAGCATAGCATCTGCCACATATAAGGCACTATGCCAGGAGCCTTGGTGGTGTGATAGAATGTACTGAGCTGTTAACCCAAAGGTTGGCAGTTCAAATCTACCAGCTGCACTGAGGGGAAACGGATGAGCAGTCTCTATCTCAGTCTGAGTCTACAGCCTCAGATCGCAAGAGAGGGTTACTGGGAGTCAGAACCCTCTTGATGGGAGTGAGTTTGGCTTTGGCTTGGTCTCCATAGCAGAGCCCATTGGATCCCTTGTTCATTCTGATCCTCATGGGGAGATCTTGTCCTGTGTTCAGCAATGCTTTGTATGTGTATGTGTGCTCAAGGCAAAATCCACGTCTGTATGTGATGAAGAGACTGATTAAGCCTTACTAGGATCAGCGTAAGGACACTTGGCGGCTGAGTGGTAAGGAATTGCACCACTAACTCAAAGGCACACGGCTCAAATCCACCCATCGCTTAAAGGGAGAAAGATTAGCAATCTCCTCCCCTGCGGTTAACTGTGTAAACCTTCTGGAGGGTCAGCTCTGGGTCATTTTAGACATGAGTGTCCATGACAACATTATTTTGGTAAAGCAAGCTTTCCCCCCTGTACTTTCTGCCCCAAGAGAGAAACTGAGGTAAAGAGAAACGCAGATAATGCCAGGACTGTGCCCCAACTCTTTGTTGAAATTCACTGGACCATTCCAGAACCCTGTCCCCACCTTCAGTAAAATTCGTCACACTAAAGGCTGCTCAGGATACGAGCAATTATTAGAACAGAAGATGAGCCTCTAAATTACAGGCCGCGCTGTAATAAAAATGGCAAATTAAAAACTTGGGCTAATAAAAAATTTTCATCTACACTCAGGCTTTTATTCCGACATAAAGCTACATGCCTACCTTGGTAATGACAACGTCTTGTTGAAATCGCCAGTACCTAATTACTCTTTCACATGCGTACAGGACCACAGGGCCTAAAACCCATTTCCAAGCCTGCAGAGAGTAGAGAGGTAGGGGGAGGAGATGAAAACGGGATCCAAATATTTTCTGTTTTAAGAAAATCGATATATAACATGATGGGGTTTCTCTTTGGCTGGTTCTCAACAGCAAGGACGTCTGCTTGTATTAAATATTATAACATTCCATATTCCCTGACGTCTACAAGCTCATTTAAGAGATTAGACTCTTCTGTATTGGTTTTTTTATGCTTACTTGATCAATGATGCCTTTATGTAATTAGAAATAATTGGATTTGCAAAGAAATAAGAAAGCAGATTGATGTTTATGTTACATATGATAGGGTCATAAACGCTTCCAAACTCAGCCAAAACCAGAGGCTTATAAAACGACATTGCTGAACCCACATAGAGCTTGGGAAATGAAATTTTGAAAAAAAACCCAAAAAACCCAAAAAGCCAACCACAACCCACTCAAATAGTAAGACTTTCTTTTTCCCCTCCAACAGTGCACCATAATTTGAATGTTTGTATGAACAGATACATGGACATAAACATAAACAGACACATAGGCATATTGGGCCTTTGAACTAGGTCCTTTTGGTTGGACCCCCTACCAAAAAATTTACATTTCTACCCTAGGTCTGCAGTGCAATCCCAAAGGCACACGGTTCGAATCCACTAGCTGCTCCTTGGGAGAAGGATAGCCAATCTCCTCTCATGTGATTACTGCCTCTGAAAATCCACTGGAGGGTCAGCTAGGAGTTGGTTCTGACTTGATGGTATACAACAACAACAACAACAACAAACTGGATGAGATGGTTTGATAGTGATTGTGCCAATGGGATAATTTGTGCCAGAAATGGTGAAGTTGTCTCAGGATGGGGCAAGCTTCAGAGCTGTTGGGAATAGGGTTGCTATGAGCTGTTGTCAACTCGACAGCACATAACAACAACCACCTGGATAGAAATGTGCTGGAGAAGAGTACTGAACATATCATAGACTACCCAGAAAACAAAAAAGGTCTGTCCTGGAGAGGATGAAACCAGGTGGCTCCTTGGAGGCAGGAATTTTGAAACTCCACCTCACATACTTTGGACACATTGTCAGGAGAGACCAGACTTGGAGAAGGACATTATGTTTAGAAGGATAGGAGGTCAAAGCAAGAGAGGAAGACCCTGGTTGAGAGGGCTTGACACAGCGACTGTGGCAATAGGGTCAGTTGTGTTGGAAATATTGAGATTGGCTTAGGATAGGGCAAGGCTCAGAGCTGGTGTTTATAGAGTCAGTGATGAGTTGGTTCTGACTTGA